AGCCTCCGTTCCCGTACGACCAACCATGGTGTCTTGCAACAATCCCCACATGGCATCATATGGGTACGGCACTCCGCCTCGGCAAAGGGTATCTCGATAAAAGTCCGAGTTCCCTTCCCAAGGCGCAATCGCGGCTAACGAAGGCGGTCGCTGGGCTGCGATTACCCACTGTACCATGGCGAGCCAGCTGTTGCCTCCAAAAGCAACCTTGCCCGTGCACCAGTCGAGCTTGGCGATGTACTCGACTGCGTCGTACCCATCTTTGCCATCTTGATCTCCCAGCCATCTTTGATAACTGAAGTTAGTTTGCTACATCGGGGAGCATTTGATGGATCATGGCGGACAAAGACGAGGGAAAGTCGAAAGGAAAGGCGGACTACTTACGGTGTAATACCCTCGGAATCCCAAGTACCCCGGAGGTCTACATTTACAATGGCATAGCCTCTCGCAGTCCACGTTGCGGGGTCTAAACCTTCGAACTTTTCGTAGCCAGAGACTTCCGACATTGGAACACCGAAACGGCCGGGCAGCATACCTAAACCATGGGGACCTACTCGAAATCTTAGCAATGGACTTTTTGTACCGAGAACAAGTCGCTCTTACCGTTGCCTGACTTGCCGTAGGGACTCCAGATGAGAATTGCCGGCACCTTCTCCGCAGTGGCGGGACGGAAAACGTCACAGTAGAGCTTGATGCCGTCTCTCATTGGCATTGCAACATCTTTTTCGAAGATTGTATCGGCCTCAAAGGCCTTATTCTCTACTGTTCGGCGGTGTCCTTTGGGCAGGTTCCGAGTCGACGGGTTGAATTTGTCGTAAACACCCGCAGCCTCATGTTCCGGAGGCACGCTTGGCTTGACTTCAACGTTGAACCCTGCTATTTGGAGAGACATGCTGAAATTCGCCTTTGGATAGATAATTGAGCAGATATTGGGGATGGAATATTCAGACTAGGAGACAAAGATGGAAATGTTGAATAACACAACAGGTTCCCTTCCTTTTTACCTATGTTAAAGCAGCCGCTTTGTGCAACTAATATCCAATTCCTCCATCCGCTTATGGCTGTTCAGCAACCGGAACTGCAGTTTTCGGGGCGTTGCAATCACCTGTGGAGCCGGAGCAACCTTGTCATGGTCACAACGTTCTGATGCTCGCTCCATCCGGGGATTCCGGCGTCGTGGACATAGCGCCGGTTTATCCCACTCTCACGCGTCGGCTCGGCTCCACAACGGCGACAGGACTTTCGTTTCCGAACGGTGACTGCACCGGTTCTAAGCTACAGGTGCTTTGGGGTGGAGCTGGTTACAGCAATTCAGCCACAGCTGTCGACTGAGCGGCTAGAATTTGAACGTGTTAGTAGATGGCGTGTGCTGAGAAATTCCTTTGGGTGGTTGGAGGCCTGTCAAGATGGAAAGTTTCTGGTAGTATGAGGGTTGTTATAAATCGACGATTGAGTGGGACAAATTGAAAACTCAGATGGCGTCCGGGAAAGATTCGGGGCAACACCCAGAGCCTTCTACTTTGGCTTTGATTTGAAAAGTAAAAGGGGAGCATTTCGCGAAATGGACTTTATTATGCAGTCTAGTTGTTCAGTTGCTACAGGTACAGTGAAGGCTTGTGAGCCTTGTTATCTTCGCCAATCTAATGCAAAGTTGGGGTACCAAAATGCCACCAACCCGACAATGCTTTTTGTAGTACATACTCGAAACTGAGCCGGCACGGATGCAAAATTGGATGCTTTCTATTTCATTCTCTGCAGTGGGATGTGGGACTCCAGATACTGAGAAGCTGTGCAGCAAGCGTGTGTAGGTAGGGAATAGCCCATCGTGAAGGCCTGCGCGTTGTGCAGTTGCCAAATATGTTGGCTACGGCGGTCGGCATGTGCAATACTCTGCCGACTCCACTCCCAGCAACGTCCTTCTGATAATTGGATCAAAAGTAGGCGATGGGATTAACTGTGCTGGGAGTCATGATCTGCTGCACATCCCAGTGCTCGATGATGCAGGTGCCGTCCAGGCGGAAAATGTCGACAATGGCTTTGTCAGTCGTGTTGGGTTGAATCCGGTGGGTGTGAAGGACAGCGAAATTTAGGTCCGAAATAATGCGGGTTACGTTGTTGATCAGGCCGGGAGTGGTAAGGATTATCTTCGTGCCAGCCTCGGCGATCGTCTTGCCAGAGGGGGCGGCCGGGTTATGTTGAATGTAGGGATCGACAACGTAGCTGACGAGCGTGTCAACGTCTTTGTCGGCATAGGCCTTGGCCCAAATGGCGGTGGTGTCGCGCTGGACGCTCAATAGAGCCTCTGGAGAGCCAGACACTTCCTTGGGCAGGTCAGCAAGGACGTTGCAAGCAAGGTTGCAGTCAGCGGCACAGGCACCGAAGACAGCCATGGCGGCTGCGATGGAAAGAGGTTTCATGTCTGATGTGTGTTGGAAGCCTGAAAGTATGAAAAGAAACTTAGGAGTGAAGAAGGAAATAGTATTTGTATGGAAGGTGTGCTATGTCGACGACAATTAGATCGATTGACAATTTGTTCAGTCTTCTTCCAGAGCGCCGAGATGCATGAGCTATTACTTATACTCATCTGTAAGACGAGCATGTTGGAAGTAAGTACAACGTCAACAAATAAACCTTCTTATACTCACTGGGTGATTGAGGGTGCTCTTACCGTTCTGGCTGGATGCGGTATGGAAATCCGAGCCCACTTGCATCTGCGGAGTAACGACCAGGCCGCAATATTGAGGGTTCCATCACGAAAACCAATCATCTTTCTTAGCCATACGGGGCCTTTTGATCGGCCGGTTGGATCGTGAACCGTTAGCGAAACCGTCGTATTTTCCGCCTCCGAAGAGGCTGGCGACGTCCAGTTGCGGCGAAACTGCTCTGAAAGAAGCGCAAAGACACCCCATGATGCCGCGTAAAACATTCCCATTGGTGGTTAGATGGAAGTGATATATATCACGACATCAGGGATATTTTGCAAAATGGGGTTTTCGAGTGGGCAGTGGTAGTGGCAGCGATTGCGTTGCGCCACCGCCTGTATCTTGGCGACGCTCGAGGCATTGCCAGCTGAATAATGCGAGATTGCGTGAGGTAGAGTGAGGCTATTTCCCGTTCTGTATCCGCTCGGTGTCCCCATTTTCTATTGAGGGTGGAATCCTTTTTGTTTCCGCAAACCCGGCCAGACGTGGCGTCCACTTAGGTCAACAGTTCACATTGGCTTCCGATGTAGGGGGCGGACAGGAATGTCGTTGGCAAGATACACATCGAACTATGTAATACTCCTAGGGGTAGATCAGGACTTGCTGTCCCCAACTGGTAGCCTTCTCCGCAATAGTGACAGCTTCCTCCCACTCTTCTAGTGAAAACCCCCTGTTGACAATCTGATGCCCAGCATCTTTGCCTAGCTTGATTACCCCAGTCTCGACCATCTTGACCAGAGATACGAGCTCCGCGCGAGTATACATGTACTGTCCCTTGATGATGATGTTACGAATCATCAGGCTCATGTAGTTGATCTTTACATCGAACATCGCGCCCAGGAAAACAGCGCGGCCGAACGAGCGCAGAGAGCCCAGAGACACCGTCAGGTGATGGGGTGAAGCCGTGGCAGATGGCGGCGCAACGTCGATATAGGCATCCGCACCACCGGGAGCAAGCGCTCGGATGGCCGCGGCATCCTTCTTTTCATCGCCGCTAAGCTCCAAGGCGGTGATGCGGGGATATCGGCTCGTGAGCGGTTCTAACTTGGAGGCCGATCGCGAGAGCGCGATGACACTGCAGCCGATCTGGGCGGCAACCTCGGCCACGGCACCGGAAAAGTGACCTGTGGCCGGTGCCACGATGACAGTCTCCCCGGCGCGGAGATCGGCAGCGCTGACGCCGCCGTAGGCAACAGAAAGACGCTGGATGTAGTTGAGATCTCCGAAAGAGTAGCCCAGCTCATCAACCAGAAGCTTCTCGTTGAGGGGGATGGCGTTCTCCAGCGGGACTGTGGCCACATCTCTCCAAAGCCCGCCCAGGTGCTTGAACAGCTTAGCCTGGCCTGGTTCGCCAAAGCCGTCATGAAGGCCGGTGAGAACTCGGGTGCCCTCCGGGTCGTCTCGTGCGAGGTAAAAGCCGCTGAGATACACGAGCTGGCCCGGCTTGATGGCTACCGCATCGGGGCCGACAGCGAGGACGCGTCCGACGCCGGTGTCTCCCGGGTTGTACGGGACGGGGAGGGAGAGTGGACTGTTCCCTGAAAACCCAGCCCGGTTGTGTGGCCGGACGGAAGTGCTCAGAACGCGGACCAGGACCGACCCGAAAGGTGTGGTCTTTGGTGTCGGGGTCTTTTCCAAATTGAGCGGCTCGTTGAAAGCGGGGAGAACGAGCGCTTTGGTGGTGTCGGGGATGGCGAGGTCTGACATTGTGAAGGATGGTGATGATGTAGGCGTAGAGGCACGATTCAGTACTTGCTGAGGACAGGTTACTCAGGACACGCAGGCTATTGAGACTTGCAAGCAGCTTTTTATACTGAGCTTTCGGGCTTCAAATATATCCTGTCATGGTGGCCAATAACTAGACGGCTCATTCATCTGCATCATTGTGTTCCGATCATCAGTTCCTGTGCCTGTATGCGGTGCATCAGTGAGTTGGTCGGGTGTGTCGATTACCTGTTTAGGCAATTGTTAGATCCGCCATGTCCGAGGCCCGCAGAATGTACTCCACCCAACTCCGCTCGAGACCAATGAAGCGGGATCGCTATTCTCAAACTGCCCTCAGCCGCTCCTGGGATCTGGATGTCCAGCTAAGCCGGTCTAATTAGATGCTTTTCCTTGATATAGCTAGCTTTCGAGTCTGTCTGTGAAACAGGTGGCCAAGCTGATAAGCTGGCTGCGGTTGGCCTCGAGGGGGCCGGCTAGGCAGGTCTCAAGCGCAGTCCTGGCTCCTGTTGCGAGGGATAAATGGAAATTTAATCCGCGGGTTTCCTTCTTCATCGTCCCCTCGGGCTATCTGCTTCACTGAGTGTCAAGGAACTGATTCATTGACATTGCTTTATTGACCGTATCGAAGTCGAGACAAAAATTGGCTGGGTCCTATATTTCTATTAGCAATACATTTTGTAGTTGGCAGAGCTGCTAACTGACCCAGTCAATTTCCACAGCGTTGCTCCAGTCAATAAGTCCGACTTCGAAATCAATGTCCGATTCTGTATATCCTCCTTCCCCGCTAGGATATTGCTGCAGCGCCGAATGTCCATATTGCTCTGTTTCTGCTTCGGCAGCGGTGGATGAGCTTGGAACCGGGTATGGGACGTGGCGTCGTCCTTGGCTGGCCGTTTGAGTCTTTGCCGCAATCAGCCGGAGCAGTCTCGTGCTTTCACGCACATGGGTAGAGGCAACTAATCTCTTGGACCACAGCTGCGTTGCTGTTTGAAGCAGGTTGATGATATAATCCTCTTCACCTGGGCTTTGAAAAGTTCAGTATTCCAACTAATTATCAACGAGCCTTGTGGGTGGTTCACCTACGGTAGGTTTGGACAATCGAAGAACTCGAGGGGTGCCACTATCGTCGTTATCAAGAAGTCATTCACCGACAAGCCCGAGGCGATGGGCTGATCCTCGTATAGTCTTCCGCCTTCCTGCATTTCATGATCGACTTCGACATAGACCCCGACAGATCTCACAGCCAGCCTCCGACATACTTTGAGCGCCGCTTGACACTCGGGATTATTTAGTTTCATTAGATCGAGAAACGGGCGGTACAGGAGGACGGTTCCCATGGTATACATGAGTTCGAGCATGATACGTTGCATGACCGTGTGATTCGGGTCCGTGAACGAGGTATCTTTGATCGCGCGTATGCGAAAGCTGGGCGGGATCGATGCGTACCACGTCTCCAGTTCGGCTTGGAGAGACATGGCGTCTGAGTAGGTGCATGTCTTTAAACCCAGCGTATGGCGAATGATGCGTCGTAGTATTGGTAATAGATGAGAGATGCAGACACAGGGAAGCATGGGTTGAGCTTCTTCTATCGGTCGAGGCGTCAAGTAGACAACGTCTTCGTCAAAGTCTTCGTCGGAGACATTCGTTGGATGACGGGTGGAGTATGTATCCTCGTGAATAAGTGGTGGTAACCCCTGCTCAATGGAGAACATTACATCGTAGTATTGAATGACATACCACACCCGGCGTCTCATTTCTGCTTCGAAAGGTGTCATAATCAGCAGTAAATTGTCTAGCTCTTGGTGATAGCATCGCCGTTGTGCTAAGCGGAGAGCCAATGCATGTAGTTGGGACGTGTCGACGTCTTTTTTGCTTCTTTGGAAATGACGCGAGTGAGCATGCATGACCAAGGCTTCGACCGAGAACTCCCCAGCTTTCTGGTACTGGCCTGCGACGAGACACCGTGCTGACATGGTGACGTAGGCCCAAGGGTGATTTGGATCAGAGGTAGATGCTGCCTTTGCGCCTAGGACGACAGCCCCAGTGGCCAGAACCGAGAAGAAGATGCTGACCCATAAGAGGTTCGCAGTCGCGGGATCACTCCAGAAGGCCTCATATTGTCTTCTGAATTGATGCGTGTGGATGAAAGGGACCGTCACATGCCTGGCGTTAAAGTAGGCAGATATTGTTCTGTCAGAAACTTGGCGGGACGGCAAAGCTTGCATTATATCTCTCAGAGTAGCTTTACTGAAGGATGCAAGCACCAGGTCCGGAAGATTTGTTTCGTCCAGGGCAGTAGTTAGGGCTCTAGGGCGGCCGTCGTCTTCTAACATGTGCTGAATGCGGTTGATACTCTCCATCAACTGATGGCAAGGAATCTCCAGCTGACTACCGGCTTTCATCGGTTGGGTTTGGGTTTGGGTCTGACCAGATTGATTGAGAAGACCTTGAAGGACATGTTGCATCTGCCTCAGCTCGATTCTGATTCCATTCTGATTGCCGCCCATAGAAGATGAGGCGAGCTGCTGCTTTGGGGCAGGCTCGAAGCGACATGAGTCCTCGTGACCCCTCTTCTGGCATGCGCCGCAAGGCTGTTGTCTATCGCATTTCGACTTCCGAGCTCGACAGGTGGAGCAAGACACGGTTGGCCGATTGCGAACGATCCGATGGGGCCGGGTAACTCGAAACGTGTTGGTGTAGTGCGAAATATCTTGGTTCGTCATAATAAGTAAGGTACTAGAGGTTCAAATTTTTTGCTTCTAATCGACTTGATAATCTATTAGAGATGGATGGCAAGGAGGAGTTAAGGCGAGACTTTGATGGAAGAATCTACAGCCATGAACTGACGCGATGTCGTGAGATGAGTGAAGGGACAGGGCCCACAACGCTCACATTAATTTCCTGGGGCCTTCCTTGTCCACCCCGCCAATCAACCCCTGCTCTTCTCCGCTAGATTTGATGTTACATAAGCGGAGCGAAAACAGAAGTCTGGTGAGACTCAAACAACTACGACATACATTCGAGCTACGGTTACTACAGGAATAAAAATATTTCGATCTTAGCTGCCACTGTTGTGAGACATGGACTTAAGTAGATATTTACATTGAAGATTTGAGCTCCATCACACTGGGAGTGTTGTACGTGGCTTGAAGAGAAAATGAAAACAAATTTACAATCAGAGTTTAGCCGTCTAGGCGGATATTCCCAGCCACCCGGGCATGCAGTAGGCATAAATCGTAATAGTGATTATGACGACGACAATAATGACAACGACAATAATGACAACGACAATAATGACAACGACAATAATGACAACGACAATAATGACAACGACAAGGATAAAAGGCAGAGTAAGGACAGAGACGACAGAGACGACAGCGAGGATAGGTATAATAGGCTTATCAAGATATAACAAACTAGGAGACCCAATAAAGGGAGTTATTCCCTTACCTAACTAGAACTATCCGCCAAAAGAGCAACATTATATAACAAGGGAGCTAGAATAGAACATAAGATTTGCTGAAGAAGTCGATCCCATAGAAGACAAAACAAGCCGTTGAAACCAACTATAAAACTCCTCAATAAGAGGTTATAGAAGATCATGATCTTGGGTACTGGCCTATTGTCAGGGCAAGAGGTTTTCCCATCAGACCCTATTAATCTTGAAGCCGCCAGGCACACGGCGCTGAAAGAAGCCGTTGGGATCATACTTCTTAGCCACTGTTTGGATGTGCTCCACGTTGGCTTCGCCGTAGCTCCCAAGAACATTTTGCCTCGAGTCAGCATAGGGGAGATATCTGAACTCATTGTCGCTGCCGATCGACTTTGAAAAATCCTCGACCCTCTTGTTCATAGCCGCAACCTGTTGATAAACGCGGGGATAGAGCTCCTCACTGTTAGAACCCAGCAGAGTCACTCCCATTACGAAAAGGATCTTGTTGCGGGAGTCTCGCTCAAGTCCAAGCATGTTCCCACCCTTCTTCACACCGATATCTGCGAAGTATGAAGGAAGCGGCTGGAAGTCGAGGATCGTAGTGAAGTTCTTCGGTCCGAGGAGGGCTTTCATATCATCGACAATACCGTTGTACTGTTCGAAGCAGTAGCGCATAACTCGTGGGTCGTTGATAATGGTCAGAGCTCCGGCCCCAGCGTTCCTGAGATCAGACGGTCAGTTGAGCCAACGTAAGGCGAATAGGATGTCGTCGATCAACTTACCGATTTTTGCCGGAAAGCTGAGTGCTATTGGCAGCCTCCACAAGAGACACCGATTTCGTGGTAGGCGGATGCAAGAGTGGGATACGGTTGAAGGCGTCATACGATGTGCTGTTGGCCTTGTTTCTGGTGTTGACCTCAACTACCATGATTGTGCTGTCCTCAACCTTGGGGTCGTATGTCATCATGGAGATCAACGCATTATCCGCCATCGACTGATTCAGACCAGCGAAATCCGCAATCGCGTCAATAAGCTCGTCGGAGTGTTCCCGGGCGTAGATCCTCGTCTCCATGTTCAAGTTCTCAGCCGGGAAGGCCTCGAGATCGAACCTAGTGACGATGCCGAAGTTGCTGCTCCCTCCTTTCAGAGCCCGCCAAAGGTCGGAGTGGACGGAGGCGTTGGCATTGATAACCGTACCGCTCGCCAGCACCACCTCGTAGTTGACGACGCTGTCGCAAGCGAAGCCCGTACGCGCCGTATACCACGAGATGCCACCACCGAGAAGGAGCCCGCCAACGCCTACGACGCCCTCTCTCCCGCCCGTGACGGTGACTCCGTCCTTTTCCAACTCGGCGTAAACAGCGCCCCACCGCGCTCCGGTTCCGACGCTCGCAACGTTGGTTGTCGCATCGTACGTGGTGGCGTTGAGGTGGGTCAAGTCGATGGTCACGCCCTTGGCGATGTTGTTCTGATTATCGCCTCCATGTCCGCCGCTGCGGATAGCTATGTGCCAGTCTCCGGCACCGCCACCGGCGGAACGCAGAGCGGTGAGAGTCGAAGAAACCTCAGCCGTGGTGCTTGGGAGAACGAAGCACCACGGCTGTTTGCGCGTGTCAACGGCATAAGAGCTTTCGACGAGGGATAGGTATAGAGGGGAGGACGGGAAGTGAACAGCGTGAGATAGATTGGCGGCTACAAGTGCGTCACACTGAACTGATGTTAGAAAAGACTGAAAGGTCGTCTTTCGGGGATAAGGAAGAAGGGATTTCATACTGCCGGGAAGCCCGAGAGCTCTTGCGTGTTGTTTGTTGCTGCTGCTGACTGTCCTTGCACGCCTCCAAACAGAAGTAGTGCAGCAGCCGCGGTGCTTGCTGACTTCGAAAATCGTGGGATGATCATCGTGACAGCGCTTGAATTTGTTGTTCTGTAAAAATGATGAAGATGAGAAGCTTTTTGGGGTGGATTGTCTGGATATTTTGCTACAGAGTCACTGGCAGACCAACCTCTATTTATGTGAACTTGAACTTCAGAAGGCAAGCCAGCATTCGCACTTCTGCGTCGCGCTGGGTGAGGATCATCGTGAGGCTGGCAGATCTGCGCTCAGGTCAGTGTGCTGTAGGCTATGTTGTTAGCTCAGAACTGGACCTTTTAGGGATGCATCAAGAAATGTGGGATTCAACTTGCAAAGGGGAGAGCAGATTTACGCGTAGCATTGCTTCTAGTGGACTGGTCTGCGGTAGCTCATATGGAAGTCAGAGTGCTTAGCCTATGCAATAGCAAGGGCCATGAGGGAGTCTGACCAGACTTTGGACATAGTGCAAATCCAAGTACTTGGCAAATGTCACAAAATACGTGTACAAGTTATCAATGTTGATTTATGCTTCTGTCACTTGGCCCAAACAGTTCAAAGGTGAGAATTTAGTGGCTGTAATCTAAGATCAAAAGGATCTGGGACCTGCTATCATTCCGTCTAGCTCGATCCTGTTGGCACAAAATACGCGTATTCTAGCAGTAAAATCGCTTAGTCACCATCGACTGCCACAAGACGTATGAATAATTACGCGTAATTTGGATGTTTCCAGCGAACGGGCTTCCGAACAAAAGCCATCGAGGGCGATGCAAATCAACGATGTAGTTAGGCTGCAGGATCATTTTCCTTTCATGATATCTGGATTTCAGTCAACCTGAGCGCCACATCATTTCCAGAATATTCCTGCCTTTGCCTAAGCGTGCATCATGGATGCCTAGGACCCATTCACATTTTCCATGAAGTCCACATCAAATGATAGTATTGTATCCACAAGCCCTAAAAGCTATCCTTAGCGAAGTAGAAACGCCTAAAGTTTGCATCATCATGAACAGCCAAAATCCATTTGCTTCGTCATCGAAAATCACTGTGATGCATGCGATGACATTGTAAGAGTGCCAGGAGTCGTCGTCTCAGCTACGGACTCCGTTTCAACGACACGCAGCGGCCACTCGAGCACCCCTTGCCAGTAGCTACCCAGGTGCCCGGCAATAGCGCGAATCATTGAGGCGCCAGCATCGCCAAAGGCCCAAAAGCTGCGGCAGCGATGCAACAATACGCCATAGTAGGCGAGAATTACTAGAGCCTCTGGTCGATGTTTCCGCAGCATATCAACGAAGCTTCCCTCTATCTTCACAGAAAACGACGAGGCCGCTGAGGGATACTCCTCCTCGTCGAGGCCTCGACAGAGGTCGAAGGACCACTGTAAAAGCTCAATGGTATGACGGCATGCCTTCATGCTGGTTTCGCTCAGGTCAGAATCGTCCAAAAGACGAGTGAGAGGATCGCACTCGATCCCCGGAGAGACAATCTTTTTGTGAGCCTTGAGAACAACATTGAGAAAGGGCTGGATCTCGGAATCGTATAGATAGTCCTTGGCCGGAGGCGTGACGGAGGTGATGCCGCGATTGAGATTGAAACATTCGACGAGTCGGTCGATGAATGAGTGGAAGTCGGAGCGGTAGTGCGCGAGAGTGTCGGCGAGAACATGTCTGCCTAAGATGGCAGAGAAGAGGAAGCGAGGGACGGCGGTAGCTTTGTCATCCTTAGGAACCGTTTCTGTGAGGCGAGTGAAGGCGGCAAGAGCGCGATTTTGTAGTTCTGTGGCCAAGTGTTGGAGACAAACGGCTGATCCAGGATACAGATGAACCATGTGGAAGGCCGTGAAGGCGAGGATTTCATCGAGGAGGTACGGTGAGTCGACAGCGTGGCGGACGGCAATGTCCACTATGCTTCGGTTCGGCCCGGTGAAGTTTGGCACTGAGTGGGCGTTGTGCATCAAAATCATGTGCTGCGGCGTAAATATTGCCTTGGACGCCGCGTCTGGTACACCTACCAAGCCGGGATGGTAATCGGAAGGTGAATGGGAAGCGGTATGCTCGAGGTCGGCTATGGACGGTTGGTCACCGTCCTCCAATTGGTCACCGTCCTCCAATTGGTCACCGTCCTCCAACAACAAGGGAATGGTGGGTTGATCCACCGCTGGGCCGAGTTCCGAGTGGCTGTTTTGCTGATGAATGGCCAGCGGCGTCTGTGTATTATGCTCTTCCGCATCGTCAATGTTGTTAACATTGCCCTCTGTGGAATCAGGCAGTGTGGGACTCGTTGCTCTCTCTCGCCCCAGCTGTTGTGATGCGCGACGCTGTTGCCCTCGTTTCCGCCTCTGCTTGCCCACCTTGGGCGGCGGGAAGACGCATGCACGCTCTGCAACTTCGCAATTTGCGCAAGACGGCTGGCGCTCGTCGCAGCGGATATGACGGCGTTTGCACTCGGTGCACCCGTTGCGAGACTTTTTGTGGGATCGCCGAGTCTCTGTGGTCCTTGTATTTGCGGCTGCGGCAACGCTCGAATCATGATGACCAGTTGAGGTCTGCGTTTCTCGACCCATGGTGGTGTATCAGCTTGAATGAAGGCGCCGTGTGGTATAAGAACAAATGACGAAGCATCTGAAGTAATTAGGGAGAACGTCGACCGCGTGAATGATTGCAGGCTTGGTCTTGGCCGCTTTAGGCAGCAGCTGTGTCCAGACAACGGGGCTTAGCTGCGTTCCGGGTCAATAGTGCCCCATTCCGCTAATACGGATCCGGTGGATACGATCTGCGGGTCGGGGCTCCAGGCATGGGGCCGGCATCCGAGCCGAAGTGGACTCATCGGCATCACGAAGACCGTGGTGCTTTACGCGACAGATCCGACACAACCAGTTTGTTGACTGGCTTCAGTCACAACTGAATCTTATTCAAGGAATTCAATTAATACTTGCTATTAAATAACTAAAAAATAATACTAAATATTAAGCTTCTTTCAGTTACTATGATATAAGCCTCGCCAGAACAGAGGCAATACTTAATCAATGTACCTGTACGACCTAAATAATACAATACTTACGTTTCTGTACAGCTTCTTCAGCAGTAGAAAGCATATCGTTGAACAATTTGGTTACAGTTGGAATAGCAATGCTCACAGGGCAATCGTGCTCTAAATGCAGTTTCCCAGCACGCAGGTACTCCAAGTCAGCTCGTGTTGAGATGTCAGAAGGGTTGCGCATAATGCTTCGGTAGAGAACTGCAATAGCAGACATGTAGTTAGTCGAATGAAACCTGCTCGGGTCAGAATGGCTGGAATCACTTTGATCAGATAACATGACAAACCCGATTATGCGCCCTTTCCTCGTCGCTATGTCTCCCGTAGAGCTGCTTTGGTTGACTTCAGCAGGTTGAAACATGCGATCCTGACGATACGGAACTTACTTGTTCAATATTTTGATGAAACATCTCGCAGCCTCAACGCAGATGACCTCGCTAGCTTGGTATTCAGATGAGTTTTGGTGCGCTACTGCGCTACAAGAAAGCCTCAGGACAGTGCCAGCGAGATGAATCGTGCGCAGAAAATTGAAGTACTCGAGGTGGAGTAACACGACGTGCCAGTAGTTCTCTGGAGAAACTAGAATGGTTCCGTCCGGGCGATACGAAGATGGCAGGCTGTCTTTCCACACCGCGAGGCGCTGATTTGCTTCTGATATGCTGTCTAGCCTGGAGACAAGTGAATGCTTGGTCTGCATCACGGCACAGTACTGGTTCTGTATCTGGCTTAGTTTATACCACCAATTCGACATTTGCGCACGACTGGGCGGCTCAGAAGGTGAGTCACTTTGAGAAAGCTCGTCCAGGTAAGATATGTCCTTGTCGTAAAGGCCGCTCGAGATCCCAGGAGGTCGACCTTGAACGAGTGAGAGACTCCTTCTCTGACTTTAGTGATCAGCAAAGGCATTGGGACGTGTACAGCTTACGAGTCAAAGCCAAATAATATGCACCAGAGGCGACTACGAAGGATGATCCGCCGCTCTGAGAACCCCATATCTGTAGGGCTCTTCTGATGTAGACCCAAGGATTGGGCGACTCTGATGGCAAGACCACACAAGACCCAGGCGAACCCTTCTCGCCCAGACTTGGTGTGGATGAATATCTGGGAACATTAGCATGATCAGTGGTAAATGCGACGATCAAGGCACCGACATGAAGTATGAGGATCTGCAAGCTGGTCTCACAAGGAGATGCCAGTGCGTCTGACATCATGGACCAGGCTTTTTGATATGAAGATAGGTAAACTCGGTCCATGTCCTCTGTCTGTGCTGAGGTACATCTCTGGACCAGCGCTCCGAGTGATACGACGAGGTGGAAGAGACAATAGTCGAGAGCGTTGGGTCTCGGTCTCTGCGGCGTGTACATCATTTCCATACGCGACATGAATACGTCTCTGTCGATGATTGGAAAGAAAAAGGCAACGCATTCGAAAAAGGCTGAGAATGAGTCAGATCCAGCAATCATCTCACTATTGGGGAGACTTCAACCTTGTATACACTTCGTTGCGGCTTCTTTGCTGGGTAACTCTTGGCTTGTAATGTCGAAAAGAGACGACAAACCGGCCTCGTCGACTCGCGGCCCGGCCTCAATGAGAAAATCCAGGCTGTCAGACTTCAGGGGAAGCTGCTGACTTTTCAGGCCATCCGTAAGGCATATCGCGAGAGTGGCACCAACGGAACCTAACCCTAAGATTGGACGCAATGAATAGGTGGTATGCGTTGACTGAATTCCCTCGACTTACCGACGTAGTGCCCCCGACTCTCATTTTTCCGAATGTACATTGAAGGAAATACCGTTCGCTGGAGGGATGCAGTGTTCTCGCTGCGCCGCGTCAACGCCTCGATGTTTGGCACTTTCCCGTTTGCCAGGCTTAGTGACGATTTGGCAAACGGTGGGACGTGAGCTGATGTGGGGAAAAGATGGCCCGGCGCGTCAATATCGGGAAGCAGATGTTGCGAAGGCGAATGGCCGACATCCATGCAACAGCCTTCGAAGGTGTTGCTCAGGTCTGGCAACTCTGTTGGTGATGTGCCATCAATATCCCAGAAGTTGGACGACACTCCAATACCAAGTTGACGTAGTACAATGCCAAAATCATGAGTTTCGGAACTCCCCTCGAATGCATCCCCTCGGGGCCAGGCAATTGAGTCAGGCAAGCTATCGTCAAACATGGAATTCGAGTCGGCCGCTGAACTCAGAGATAAACTTATGCCAGAATCATCATGAATATTTGTCGACTCCGAGGTGCTGTTGGCTGTTACCATTTCTGGCTCAATTTCGAAGGGCCTTCTAGTTTGTCTTCCAGCCGCGCGTTGTCTTCTATCAGAGGAAATGCACTGAGTGCGATATAGTTGACAGTTGAAGCAGGGTCGTTGATCCGGGGTGCATTTTAGCTACCATCGACCTACAAGTCAGCTTCCCCCCTGACGCAGGACGAGTGGAAGACACTGACTCTCTTCTTGCGACAGTAATCACACGCTCGAGCTACACGCTTCGCGCGTTGTGGACGGATGCTTGGAGAAGTATTTTCCCTGGACATGATGAGCGATATCCTTTGCGTGCCCATCCAACACGAGCAAGGCAGGTAAGAGGGGATATTCCACATGATATTGCGAGCCCGAACGACTCGCTCACGGATAGCTAATAAATCCCGGTGCTGTTACCATCCGGATTCCACCACATCATACTCACAAAGTCAAACAGATATGAAGTGCGGAGATGGCAAATTTGTTTAATGCAGTGCTACATCAGATGGGAACCCTGGTCAGTCCCAATCCCTCGTGGCACCTGTACCGTGCCAGACCTCACAGGGCCGCTCCTCCTCCTCTCGCCTGTCTCCACACAGCCGCAGAAGCTCTGTGCCGTAGTGATTGCCGTTCGGAAGTCGCTGAATGGTGTGGATGTGATACTTAGCGAATTATTCGCCATCACGCCCAAATTGTGTTGGAACCCAAAAGACTCTACCGGACACAATGAATTTGAGGGTCCAACCTCCCCGATGCACGAGAAGTAAGTTTCGACGAAGTATTCTCGAATTCGCCTTCCTCGGGAGTTGAGTGGTCCAGCAGGCTAAAGCATGAGAAATTCGCCCACAACGGACACTAGCGGTGACTGCTGTTCGTCTTCCATGTCGGACACCTGAAGACCTTTATATAAGTTTATTCTGTTATCTTGGAAAGCTCCCCAATAGGTGTCTTTTTGGGATATTTAAGATGAGTTCTACTGTTTTCAGGGTTGGATAGCACCTACCTGATTTGCTGTATTCCATTGGCTTTCGAGCATCGATGGATCACATATTTCAGAGTAGACATGAGCTTTTCTTCGCATCCCGGGACTGAGAGAGTGCGTCAATTTCAACTTTGCTGGCCTTCTATCGCGCGTAGAGAGTGACTCCTCGACCAGGCCCTTTGTAAATTATCCGAGAAGACGTCAGCCACGGCCAAAATTGAGTATTGGATGCACACATACGCTCGGCTCCGCATCCAAAAACACAGGGCCGATGACCATTCTCTGTTCAAGTAGCATGTAAGCCCACGTCTCGGCTTTCACTTCAGGGGCGCCATCGGCGTTGGGATGTCCGTCGCCGCAGCGCAGGTGGTCCCAAATGCCACGGAACAGGTGGCAAAGTGGAATGCAACAGACTTCCCGGGGACATTAAAGTTGCGGCTTTGGCTCTTAAAGTAGAAATTAACCCCCGAGCGCAGGTCCCCGGAAATCACTGACAAGAGGAAGCCTTCCGTGGGGGTTCAATGTCGATTTTCCGTGGGGTCGAGAATCAGACGAAGACTTGAGGCCAAACGACACTTTGCGGTGCTTCCGGGATGTTTGATCCTTGGATCTGACCTGCGGCTCCTTGTCTTTGTTTGACTAGTTCACAGTGGTTTCCGACGGATGTGATGTTTGTCTGGATTTTGATGTCGTTGCATGTCGGGTGGGTGGCCTAATTGACACCGTTTTCAGCCTGCCTTAGTCAGTCTCTCACCGTTTGCGTCTTTAATCTCGTTTCTTATATCACCAATACCTTGAATCGCCAGGAATGTCTATCATGAGTTGGCCAATCTGTAGCGTCAAATCAATGCAAGATGTCAACGGCACTATTGCTGGATACCTGATGCAAAGGTATCCTTAAATACGTTTACTTATTGGGTGTACAAGCCGGTTCAATGGCAACATTATTGTTTCTTAAAGCTGATGAGTGAGTATGAAGAGCGTATGAGCTTGTTTGATTCCGAATGTGTCGCTGAAGTCCAACCTGATGAACGGGGAAGTGTGAGGCCTCTCCTGGATATACCCAATATTGCTTAGTGGAAGACCTCTTGCTATCCCATGTGTTTGCCCTCTGGACCGTCTAAGTGTGCCTCAAACACAGCACTGTATCCGTCTAAAACACACTGAACAGCTTTGCGCAACGTGTCCGCTAGATCATCAGCTTTGAAAGATCTGAAGCACCCGACCTCTCCACGTCCAGCTGCGGCAGCGATCCCCGCGTAGTCCGGCGTTGGCGAGAAACTGATGTGAAGTTCTTCTCTAGAAACCTTGAGAGCTGAAGCTTCTGGTCTGATGTAGAGCAGGGAATTCCTCGGGGCGTTCCAACCATTGTTGTTCAAGACGATTGTGAGAATCGGGATCTTGTAGCGCTGTGCGATCCAGTAGACGGATGCCGGAAAGGAGAACATATAGGAACCGTCGCCTACGATCTGACAGACAAACTTCCTAGATCCCGTAAAGTCTGAGGCCAATTTCACCCCGAGAGCCTGTTTTTGTTAAGTTGAATTTTAGCTGGACGTTTAAATGGGCAATATGGATCTGTCCTGTTGTACTTACCGCTCCTCCACTCCAACCAAGACCGCCTCCGCCACTATTGAACCAGGAGCCAGGAGCCGTCAATCGAAGCTGCTCTGCGACAGACTGCGTGTTGGTGATTGCTTCGACGACGAAGATTGTGTCCTTGGGAACGGCTTTTCGGAGCTGGTCCATCAAATTCGGGGTGCCGAAAAAGCCTTCAGGTGAAGGCTTTGCCTCATCAGCGATCCTTGTCATGCGGTTGGCGTGGGCTTCTTGTAAGCCCAACAGGCGCATGGTGTAGAGAGGCGATGTCACGATGGACTGTATTTCATCATTGGAAGCAATGTAGTCCTTGATCTGAGTGACGGCCACGAATGCGTTTGCCTGGTATCGATGCTGAGCGTTGATGTAAAAAACTGGCATGTTGTGTTTCAGGGGATCGACATCGACGTGAATGACATGGGCATCCGTTCTGGGCTTGCATCTAGTCGGGATCCATGGAACATCGCAGTCGAGGACGAGAATGACATCGGCAGTCCTGATGCTATCGTCTCCGGCGTAACCACAGCCGAGCCAGTTGACGTGGTTCGCTGATAAAAGAATGTATCAGTTACTCTATTATTCCAAGGGAAACATGGACACAGTACCTGGAAAACACATCTCACTCACTCCTGCGTCAAAGACTCGTAGCCCTGGAACAGCCGTGACAAGCTTTACGAGCTCATCCGGAACACGAGTGTCTCTGCCGCTATATCCAGTGACAATAAGAGGCTCTCTGGCATGAACAAGGGAGTTGGCAATTAACTCGACTGCTCCCAAGCTGAGTGCAGTTGGTTCCACCGAAGACCAATGTTTCTGATCGATGGAATACGGCTGTATCTTAGCGTCGAGGACTTCCCTGACTGCACACAAGTAAACAGGGCCTTTCGGGTCACTCGTAGCGAAGCTGAGAGCTCGATTGATCAGTTGCTATCACACGTTTAGTTCTAATCAACCCATGCAGCAGAAGCGAGACGCTCTTCCTACCTTGATATGAAGGCCAGACCGGACCTCGCCGGTGTACTTGCAATATTGTTCGACAATCGCCCTCTGATTGTGGACGTCCTGTAGCCACTGAATATACTCACTGCGAGACCCATTCAGTTCACCTTCGATAGTGAAGGGAGATAGGCCAGCAAAGATTAAGAGAGGTACTCGGCCAACGGATGCGTTATGCACCGCACAACCTAGTGCTTGGGTGCCGACATCGACGTGAACTATGACGACCTGCGGCTTTCCGGTAACGCGAGCGAATCCATCGGCCATTGACATAGCAACCATCTAACACAAACATAAGTATTCCAAGTGATTCAGGTTGCTGGGGTCGGGGAATACGTGCCTCGCTTGGGCATGTGATTATCCTGGGAAAGGCGTCTTCGCGTTCTCTCTGGCCCTTCACGATTGCTTCTAGCATGCCAGGATGATCAGAGCCAAAGTTACAGAAACAATGCGTTACGCCTGCGTCCCATAATGCTTCGAAGAACGCCTCTGCGGCGGTGTACTTCTCGGACACCACGGTTGCGTTGATGTTGGCCATGTAGTTTGGAGTGGTTCAGAACGTGTCGTCGGGTTTTGTTGGCAAACAGTTTTGGAAGATTTTTGAGGGTATGAGAAGATTGCCGAGGCGGGTTGGGCGGATGATCTTACTTAAGAACAATACACCCTGTCCGTTCGTGAATAGAGTTTTGTTCATGTCTCCCGGGCTTGATGGGAGCTTTTAGCTCGGCGAGAAGTTGGGGCCGGGAGATTTCCGTAACGCTACATCATTTGATAACGGCATGCAGAAGATTTAATTGCATCAGAAAAACACTTGGTCGATTTTCTCATTGAAGAATAGATGGTTCAAGCCAAGCCAGGTCTGCCCTGAGTTATACGTATGCTCGTAGGAACTTCAACCCGTTGATCACAGCCTCATATTCTGGATCCCCGGGCATCTTTCCGATGTCAAACCCATGTTCCGCACCTTCAACAACCACCAGCTGCGTATCCACCCCGTCCGCTTTCAAGGCCTTGTGCGCCCTCTTCGCCAATTTGACGTCCACCGCCGAATCAGCCCCTCCATGCCCAAAGAAAGTCGGCGGGAAGGACGGCGAGAACAAACGGGCCGGGTCCACCCTGTCATATTTACCGTCCGACACGAGCTCTTGGAGGAGAGTGCCGTCCTTTATCTTGCCCATGAGCCACGCAGCGCGGTAAGTCGAGACGTCAGGTCCCTTTGGGCCAAATGGAGGCGGGGCTGATGTCGGCGGTGGTTTGTCTTCGTATATCTTGTTTCTGAACTCCACATTTGGGAGGTCAATGGGAGGTATCTTTGCAGGCTTGGCGAAAGACTCGTCTTCCATGTACTTGAGGCCGAATAAGTCAAGAATGGCCTTAGGAGGTTTGGACATGGACGCCTAGGTCAATGTGAGTTTACTGGACGATGTTGAAAAACAGGACTAAAACACATACCATGAGCAGAGCAAGTGTTCCTCCCGCAGAATGGCCCCAAGTCACGACTCGCTCGCCATCCAGCATGATGCCGGCGTCATTGGCTAGCTTGACTGGCAAGTCGTTCTGGGCCCATGAGAAGGCGTCTTTGGAGTCTGCGATTGCTCCGTCGTATGCTGAGATTGTCGGAGATAGCCGATAGTTGGGAGACACCACTGCGCCGAAGCCCAGGTCGAGAAGCGCTTTGATGTACTGAGGGCTGATCATGCCCTTGTCACCGACCACGAAATTCCCGCCGTGGTAATAGATGGCTGCCAATTTGTCAGTTTGCCATCGTCAAAAGCATCATTACTCGTCGTACGTACCGATAGGCTTCGTGCTGCTCGAGTCGCCGTGCTTGAAGTAAACGTCAGCTTCGATCGGATCCGCACCTCGAAGATGCTTGTATGTGTATGTTTTCAGTTCCATATTGTTCTTTGAAAAGTTAACAACGATGTATAGTTTGTTTGTCGTAAGTCAATGATGGATCAAGTCCTAGTGCGTGCGATTGGGCAATTGCTTTGAATCCTGACTCTGAAGCACATGGTGTAATGTAGGCAAGCTTTCGATTGCTCTCTCTGAACCTTGACGCAATTCCGGATCCCGGGGATCAGGCGAGTTGGGAGACCGACTACGTTCCGGGGATTTCCTTGCAGTGCCTCACTAAATTTGGCCAGAAGGTAACCCTCACACCTTGCCTGCTATTTTTGAGATGCTGTTGGCCACCAAAATAATCTGGTTGCGGTAAAATGGCTAAGACGGCCACATTTCTGGTCTTGTATGAGGGTATAATTAACCTGGACAGAATACAGAATTTATGTCTGTGACGATGTTGGTAGCAACAAGGTTCGGTTGAATCCTGAGCATTGAAACTAGGCTTCATGAGCAAGAGTAGCATAATACTGAGCTACGGATTGGACATATGCTACGCAAACAATTTAGCCATGAGATCCTCCCTGTGATTATCCGCCTCCTCCCAAAACATTCGTACAAGACCAGAGATGCCAGCTCTGGCATCATTGTCCATTCTTCTCATTGGTCTCATTGTTTCCATCTCTGCGATGAGGAATCGCAACTTCAGCTATTGTGATTGGCCGACCGTCAATATCCGTGTCATCAACCCAGTTGCCATGAAACCCAGGCCTCAACCTGACGGGAAGCTTTGCAATGGCAGCATGCTTCTCAAAGTCGTCGCAGTCAATAATGACAAGCTCGCTGGTCATCTCGTCAAAGTTGTTGACCAACGCGATCAGGAAACCGTCACCCTCTGCGGCCCCCGGGTGTCGGGGGACGAACTGAGGCTCCTGGAAGAAGTGGCGAGGCCCTCTGATGTACTTCTGCGTGACACCAGTTACGAGATCGTATTTGTAGAGAACGTTCATGTGGCCGATGCCATCTTATCGAGCTGTTAGCGTAATCAGTCTGGCATGACTTGAAACTTTTGAAAACGTACCGCCAGCCAGGGGCGCAGAGTACTCCCAGTCCGTCACTCCAGGGCTCATATCAATCATGTTTCCGTATATGAAGCGGTTTTTCTTGCCAAAAACGCGATCGTCGATGCGCGGGAATTCGTTTGGCCCGGATGTCACGACTTCCGTGGGTGCTTGGTACACCAGCTTGGTGGAGTGAGGATCCAGAACGAATTCGCAGACATGAGGCGCAAGCACTTCCAGATCAAAATCGGGAGCCTCGCCGTTCTGGTCCGGGAAGAATCCGAATCCGTTGCCCCTGACCATGGACACGTGAAGGTGGACTTGCCCATTCTCCTCCCACGCGTTGGCGACGTGGCCGGTGAAAAGGTTCGGTCCTTGGAACCACTATGCCACGTTAAAGATATGTGCCAGATGAAGGAGGAATCGTTCCAAACCTTAATGTCCGAGGACTTGGCTTCTCTTCGTGGGAGTAGCCCTACGTAGTGCGGTCGATCGGTCCATGTCCAGTGGTTGCCTCCCTGTTTCAGCTTGTCCATGAAGCATTCCATGGGAACAAGTGGAAAGATGACCTAGTACGAATTAACCAGTACAATGACACGGCTAACATATACTCACCCAGTTATCAGTAAAAGCCATCTCGTGCTGGAACCCGCAGAATGGCGCCTGAAACCACACCTTTTCGTTAAAATTGCCGTGTTCATCAATCGACATATAAAACACATCCCTGGTTCCAACACCCTTCCCCTCGTAGCCGAAAGATAGGACCTCTCTCGTCTTGACGTCGTACTTGGGATGCGCAGTAAAAGTTTCGCTTTCCAACTGCCCATCAAAGTCCCACTTGCCAATTGTCTCGAGGGTGCGAGGATCAACGGCATAAGGCTGACTGTCTTCTTTCAACGCAAGGATGACGCCTTTGAAGGGGAACGCCGTCGTGTTGGCCGTCGTGCGGTCCGCGAACTTGACTAGGTCAGTGTAAGGATTGCGGTACTTGCCTGACATCTTTGTTAGTGCGATTTGCTCAAGGTTTTGGGAAACTCTGTTGCTGTGATTGCTTTACCGATGAGTGCACGATTCTCATTCGTCTCAACTCGAAACTTTTCAGTCTTGACGAACCGCTGCTTAAAATCGACATTGCCATTTTTGATGCGAAAGGAGGATATTGCACCGTCACCATTGAGCCACTTCAGAGATTACTTCAGCATTTGATGCAAATAGAGACTGGTACGGATAAACCTACAATATCGTTTTTGACAAAAGGGACGTGATAAGGCTCAGGCATGATGCGATAAAAGGTGCCCGAAATTGACGGAGGGATTGTTCCGTAAACTTCGAGATTGTTGACCTTTCCCTCGTAGCGGGTTGGCCTGTTGAAGCCTGCGAGGGCAGGGCCGGCGTTATCGAAGTTGGTGTCGCAGGGCGGCCAGCTTGCCTTGTCCATTCCAGGCCATACTTTTGAAGGGAGCTCTTGCCACTGTGAGGGCTTTAGATGATGCATGTCGATCCAGTTGCGTTGACGGATGAGGGTAAACGGATGATGACAAAGACGCTTTGGTGTGTAATTGAAGTATGAGTATTTTAGCAACGCCCTTTCATTACGGACTACTCATCGACATGTGGCTAGTTTTTAGAAGCAGAGCTTCTCTGTGCAGTATCATCTGAAGCCTCATCCGATCACACTTTTGCGGGGGAGCAGACGGACAGTTCAAAATCCCGTCCTGCCGGACGACTTGGGACGGAACGGGATGCAAATATCCTCTCCGCTGAGGACTTAGCTTCCGTGCCACGGAAGTAGAATTCGATACACATGAAGTATGTCTCCCCGCGGTAGAATTGACTGCCCCCGGGCTCGGAGAAGACTCCGAGCGCTTGTCTTGGATTCCGCTGACCGGCTTTCGGGTGATTACCTGCGACCGTCATGTTCAGAGACAGAGGGCCGTCGCATAGCCTTGGGGTAGAAGTAGCTACCAATCCTCCCAGGCAATGTTATGAAGAGTCACCCTGTACAGATTGACTGAAAATATTCAACATGATTATCGAAGGTTGCGACGTCCCGCTGTGTGACACGATCCGCCCAGAGAATGAGGCGAACTGCTTCCCATACTCCTTCAAGGAGAAGAAGAAAGAGCTCCTGCCTAAGGGCTGGCAAAAGACCCTTCGTAGCCGACCTCTTCCTAGCGAGCTCATATACGAGGTTAATGAAGAGATGAGACACTCGGATGGCGTTAAGGTCCGTCCGCTGTGAGCAGAATATCAAGAGAGGAGCTAACGGTCCAGATTTACTACGATATCTGTCGCCCGAACACGGTGGAGAAGGTTCCTGCTCTTCTTGCATTGAGTCCTTACGGCAAAGGAGGTAACGGGTTTCTCAACTACGAGCTTCTACCGTATAGAGTCGGGGTACAGGAAGAGATGCTTTCGGGTCTAGAAAAGTTTGAGTCGTGAGTCTATCCTCCACTCCTCTACGCGGAATGCATGAATAAGGGTTAACTGTTCATGTCCAGCGTTGACCCAGCAGAGTGGGTGTCTCGAGGTTACGCCGTTGTTAATGTCGACATCCGTGGATCTTGGGATTCCGAGGGAGACCTATACATTGAGGGAATGGCGCCTGGTAAGTCATCCCTGATCCCTCTGCGCAGACTTTCCTAACGTCTTCTAAGCACGAGACGCTGCCGAGATTGTTGAGCACGTTGCCGCCTTATCTTGGTGCTCTGGATCCATCGGCATGCAGGGCAACTCGTGGCTCGCTGCAGTGCAATGGAGCACTGCGGTGGTGGCGCCCCCCGCCCTTAAAGCTATCGCACCGTGGGAGGGCTTCACGGATAAGTATCGCGAAGTCGCTTGCAGGGGGGGCATCGCTGACGCGACGTTCCTTAACCTGGTATATAACGGGACGATTCGCGGCCGAGGTAAACGAGAAGATATCTTCGCAGCGGCACAGAAGTGGCCTTTAATGAACCCCTACTGGGAGGATAAGGTTATTAAGACGGAGAAGATCACGATTCCTATCTATGCTGTCACTAGCTATAGCTCGGGAATCCACGGTTATGGTACGATACAGGGCTTCCGGAAAGCTAAAAGTAAGAAGAAGTGGCTACGGATCCATGCTACCCAGGAGTGGTTTGATATTTACCGAAAGGATATGACCGATGAGTTACAAGCCTTCTTCGATCGATATCTGAAGGGGGTTGAGAACGATTGGGAAAAGACGGACCCCGTTCGCGTATCTATCTTGACTTGCGGAGATCGTTTTGGGCCGGTAAGTGTACCTGAGCTTTTACTCTGATAACAATTCTAACGTATGGAGATAGCAACCTATTGAACATTTTCCCATGGGAAGTTATCCACACGCAAAGACTGAGTATAAGAAGCTCTACTTAACAAAGGATAACCTATCTCTCTACCACCCGTCAGCAAGCGGTATCACGTCGTACCAGTCGGACGATCGCAGCTCTGCAGTAGAACTTGTCTACACCTTCAAAACTACAACCACTTTGATGGGATTTTCCAAGGCTAAAATCTGGCTTTCCTGCGATGACACAGACGATATGGACGTCTATCTCAGTCTGAGAAAGATCAGTAAGTCGGGAAGAGTGCTCGATCATATCAACATTCCATGGTCCGCAATCCCACGCAACGACAGTACTCACGAGGATGTAGTCAGCACTAATGTCATTAAGGTCAGTCATCTGTTTTCCCTTTAACCGCTTCACAGCTACTGACTTTGATTGCAGAACACTGGACCTCATGGCCTGCTTCGCGTGTCCCACCGAGCCGTGGATCGGTCGAAGCAGGATTCCATTATGCCCTACCACCCTCACGAAAAGATTGAAAAAGTCCAGCCGGGTGAGATCGTTCCCGTCGAAATCGGAATCTGGCCAATTGGGCTCAAGCTTTACGAAGGGGAAGGGCTCATGCTACGCGTGCGTGGGAGTAAGGATGCGTACTGGGAGATTCCAAACCTCCAGAAGAGGACCATCTTTGGCATGAACAAGGGGA